TAACCGATATGGTAATTGCAAACACCTGATATAAACTACCCAAGCGACGATTATACACTTGTAAAGCCCCTTTTGATGATGGCAATAACCCTGAGTCTTCAAAAAATCAAAAAGACTAAATGAGCGTTTCCGAAATGCCGTCAAAAAAGTCAATACATTTCCTGGGACAGATATTGGATCTGATCATCAAACACATCTTGCAGATATTAAACTACGGTTAAAACGATTTTTTTTAGTTTAAACTGATGACCTCTGATCGTCAAATCGATTTAAATGTAATTAAGTCCCCTTGTACCTTTGTCCCTCTTCCCAAGAAGGCACATGCTAAGCAGTGCAGTGATCATCGCACGATCAGTCTGATGAGCCATACCTTAAAAATATTCCTCAAAATAATTCACAATATAATTTACAGAAAATTGGAAGAAGATAATGAAGAAACTCAGTTTGGATTCCGGGAGGGATGTGGAACTCGCGAAGCATTATTTGCCTTTAACATCTTGACACAGAGGTGTTTGGATGACACCTTGACATATTTGACATCTTTATTTTACATGTTTCTATTAATCGTCTTGGTTTATTGGTATCGAATCTTATTTTTGCAGAGTTAGTTATTACAGGCCTCACTGATGCCTTAAACATTTTGGCCTTTTGTAGATTGTAGATTTAATACATACCGCTATTCTGCATTTTTTCTGTTTGCTAAAACGTCAGTAAATGACCATTTTGTAGTGTAATTTGCCTCGTCACTACTGATTTGCTTAAAAATTTATATTTAGATTCCTCTTACCTATTTTTCTCTTCTGGACTTGAGCCCAGGGTAGCTTTTACTTGCGAGCTGAAAGCCACTCCTTCTAGGGGGCGAAAAAACATACATTTTTTAAACTTACAATTTTTTTCACTTAGTCAATACTTTTTGAGTTATTTTCGAATGAACATGTAAATTTTTCAAAATAAAATTATGTTTTCATATGTCAAAAAATTGTGGACTTATTAAGACAACAGATCTAGTAAATGCAGAGTTGTAGCTGATGAAAAGTAGAGTCTTATTTGTCAAATTTCAAATCGAATCTTTCACCGTGAGATAACCAAAAAGTGAAGCACTTTTCGGGGAAAACTCAATAAAACTATTTGAAAGTGTTAAAATAAGGTTTATTTTTGTTTTTTAAAAAAGATTATAGCATCATAACTAAACGAGTTACGCTCAAAATAAAGTTGGTCCCTTTTTTTGGTAAAAACATTATTATTATACATAAGCAAGGGCAGAGGGATCAGTCGCTATTATACCCAAAAACAAAGAAATTACATTAGTAACCTACTAGTAAATTACAAAATTCCGAAAAAAAATAACAAAATTACAATTTTTGGTTTAAAATAAAACCAATCTTTCAACTATATTATAAAACGGTCAACTCTATTTTTGAATGAGTTGGTAGAGGTAGCAGAGACAATGTTATCATTAAGGTTATTCCAGAATTCAAAAACTCTATTTAGTAGAAAGTTCTGTCTTGTTCTTGTAGAAAAGTTTTCTTTTTTTAGTTTAAAATGATGACCTCTGAGACGTTCATTTTGATTTATAGTAAACATGTCATAGAGGTTTCCACAATTTAATTTTAATATTTTAAACGTTGTAATTAAGTTCCCTTGTATACTAAGCAGTGCAGTGACCATCGCACGATCAGTCTGATGAGCCATACCTTAAAAATATTCCTCAAAATAATTCACAATAGAATTTACAGAAAACTGGAAGAAGATATCGGAGAAACTCAGTTTGGATTCCGGAAGGAATATGGAACTCGCGAAGCATTATTTGCCTTGAACATCTTGACACAGAGGTGTTTGGATGTGAATCAAGATGTATTTGCTTGTTTGATTAATTACAACAAGGTGTTTGATAACGTCAAGCATGACCAACTTATAGAGATCTTGAAAGCTAAACAGTTAGACACTCGCGATCCAAGAACAATATCTACTCTGTATTATAATCAGAAGGTAGTCGCATGCATCGAAAATAGCACAACAAATAAAATTTAAATTAAAAAGGAGTTAGACAAGGATGTGTGCTGTCACCAATGCTATTTAATATATATTCGGAAGAAATTATGAAGTTAACGGCCAACCAATTAATAATATTAGATACGCAGATGATAGTTTTAATGGCGGAGACAGTAGAAGACCTACAAGCCATTTTAAACAAGGTAGTCACATCTAGTGAAGACAAAGGGTTAACAATAAATGTCAAGAAGACGAAATTCATGATATTTCAAAAAAACAAAGATTGAATGCAAACCTGTACATTCACAATAATGAAATCGAACGGGTGCACAAATATAAATATTAAGGAACAAGTGTTAATAACAACAATGACATCACAGAAGAAATAAAAACTAGAATTGAAAAGGCTCGAGCTGCTTTTTTTAATATGAAGGACATTCTGGGAAGTCATGACATTAACTTAAACCTGAAAATGAGATTATTTAGATGCTAGATCTTTTCGACCTACTGCTGTACAGAGTAGAGACTTGGACTTTAAACAAGAGCAATACCGATCAACTAGAGGCCTTCGAAATGTGGATATATAGAAGAATTTTGAAAATACCTCGACCAGACAAAATAACAAATAATGTAGTTCTTCGAATAATGAACAAAGAACGGGAGCTGTTGATCACCATCAAGAAAAGAAAGTTGGAATATGTTTGTCATGTGATGAGAGGTAAAAAGTACCAATTACTCCAGTGAATTATCCAAGGAAAGATTCAGGGCAAACGAAGTGTGGGAAGACGACCTATATCTTGGCTGCGCAATTTAAGAAACTGGTTCCAGTGCATATCTAACCAATTATTTAAAGCAACAGCTTCAAAGATACGAATAGCAATGATGATTTCCAAACTCCGTAGCGGAGAGGGCACTTAAAGAAGAAGAAGAATTAAGTCCCCACGTTGTCGGCGAAGTTCAAAAGAAGTTAGGTTAGCCATACTAAGTATTTCTGCATAAGAAGGTCTTCTTGGTCCCAAAGGAATTCGAATGGCTTTTCTTTGAATGTTTTCCAATAAATAAATCAAATCATGCATGCTGGACTGCGTTGGTCCAGCGTATTCAAGTATGGGTCTTACGTAAAGAGTGTAAAATTTACAGAATATTGCATTCAAACTCTTGAAAAACATCTCCAAATAAGATACAATCTGGAGTTCGCACGTTTACATACAGAGAAAATTTGGTCGAACTAAGTTAAGCTGCTGTTTACGATAACACCTTCGTTATACGAGAACACAGAATCTAATGGTTGCCCCTTAACAAAGTAGCATACAAATAAAGTCCAAGTCAATTTGAAGGGTTAGCTGGTTTGTGATTGGATTGGCATATATTTTTGTGTCATTAGCGTAGAGCGATATTTTACTTGAAACATAATAAGGAACATCGCTGGTATAAACTGCGGTATAAAAAGTAAAGGTCCAAGGACAGAACTCTGAGGCACTTTACTTTCCACTAACCTGTCCTGTGAGAAAGATTCGCGAGCTCAAACTTTGTAATGTCGAGATGTCAGGAAATCATTTATTCAACGAAGTAAAGTACCACGAACTCCGAAATGTTCTAGCTTATGTAGAAGTCTGCGCTTAGGTACACGGTCAAAGGCTTTAGAGAAATCTAGATAAATAACGTCGACCGGCTGCGAACTGTTAAGGGATGACGTCCAGTCGTTAATACAATGTAGGAGATAAGAGTAGAGAGACCAGACACAAATCAATGTTGTGTTGGAATAAGATGTTTCTGGAGAAGAAATTTGGTCATCTTCTCAGAAATAATGGCTTCCATTATTTTGCCAACTAATGGCAGCAAGCTAATCCGACGATAATTGTGGGGCTCGAGTTTGTTGCCTTTTTTAAAAATAGGGGTGACGGATCCTAATTTCCAACTAGGGGGTAAGGAGTTCTGGATAAAAGAAGTTTGCATAATTACCGTTAAGGGCATTTTAAGCGTGTCTGCGCATGTGTTTAACAGTTTTGGTCCTAAACCATCTAAAGCAGGTGAAGCAGCGTGTGAAGTTTAATTAAGTGTTGTTTGACATGATCCACTGTGCTTGCTGTAACTTCAACTTGCTGTAAGGATGCTCCTGACAAAAACCTGTGAAAATGCTAAAGAGCGAAATTCGGAAGATTCTTTGTGAGAGGAGTATAAAATCTGGTTGGATTTCTGAAGTAGAGGAATGGAAACCTTAGACGTATGTATTAGTAGACTTTTTTAATGTTACCCCTTTTAATAACATTCACTTCAATATTTTGTCTTAGAGTTTTCAGAGATGTTTGTAAGTTATTTAAAAATCTGCGGTGGCTTTGAAAATCACTGAGAAAATTGTGATTCATTTGTTTTATTAGTTCAATTTATCCAGGATTAAAGGTTGTTTTTAAGTATCTTACGGAAGGTGGTATTTGTAGAAATTATATTGTGGACGGTATCGAGAAATGCAGTCCACATTAATGAGGGGTCGTTAAGGTCTGCAAAAAATAAATGCCAGTCGATTTGAGACAGTTTTCAGTGTCAAGTTTTAAAGTAAACAATTTTTAGGAAATTTTGAAAAAGATGCATTTTTGACATTGTTTTAATTATAACTAATTTAAGTTTGAGATTTATGCTTTAAACTGTGATAAAATCTTAAATTATGTTGTTTAATGTTAATTAACATTCATTTACTTTATTAAAAGATTATTTGAATCAATTGCCCGCTTTAAGTAACAATTATACGATTTTTTTCTAATAGGGGTAGTTTTCATCCCCAAAAAATAAAAAAACAACCAAGGTCAAAACCAAATTGAAGGGTTAATAGAACCTAAATCCAAATGTCCATGCAGTTAAGTGATGACACTGAAAATTACAGGATATCGCCCGTTTTCACGTTCATTTACTAGCCTATTATATTCTTTTGAATTCTATTGACAAAAATATTATCACGTCAATCCATTGGAATAAATTATAAATAAAGTAATAAATATCGTATTTCTTTTTAGAGAATGTAAGAAATATTCGGAGTCGTTGAGAATTGTTACGAATATCCCTGATTACTTTATAGAAGTGCCACTGAAAGGAGTAGGATCAATTAATGAAAAATTTTGTATTAACTACAAAATATAAAATCGTTATTATTATCGTTTTTTATTAAGTTTTGTTTTGGTAACTATTTTTGGTTAAAAAGATGTAGTTTTTTAAATACATTAAGTTTAATTGATATTTGTTTATTAGCAAAAAAGATTTAAAAACCATGTCAAGCTTATATGTTGTTAATACAATAGTTTTTGTTTTTGTAAAGTTTATTTTTAGGACAACTTAATTGCTAACTGCATTTAGGTCGCTTATAAGTTCTTGTAGTTCTACAAGATCATTAGATGGTTAAAGTATTCTCCATCACTGGATAGGCCTTTCTTCTGCTAGTTTATTTTGCTGAATATATTTTCTAACTTGATGGTGGTAAATTCTGAGTGTTTTCATAAATTTTTACCTTAGCTTTTGCTTGTCTGTATATATTAGTTAAAGTCTCTATGTACGGTTTGTCAATGCCTTAGTTGTTCAAAGCTTCTATTACTGCCTTGGGATATATCGAATCGTAGGTCTTCTTGAAATCAATAAAGGTTAATGCTAGCGGTATTTCATGTTCTTTAGCTCTACTTACTTATTAGTAGATACTCATTAGATATGATCCAGAGTACTGGAACCACTTTTGAGGCCAGCTTGCTCTCTTCTGTGCAGCATCTAATACATTTTTAATCTGTTGTTGATGATATTTATGAATATCTTGTATTTGATTGGTAGTAAACTTATAGGTCTGTAGTTTTTAATATTCTCTTTGCTATATTTCTTATGAATGATAATTATGTTTGGTGTATTTTAGTGTTCTGGTATGCATATTGATCTTAGGTAGTTCGTAAATATGCCTCCTATACTGTTCGTAAAGATTTAACAGATTTTTTGGCAGTATATTTCACAGTTCTACTGTTATGCTATATATTTCAGTTGCTTTACCGCTTTCCATTTGTGTAATTCTCGATCCTACTTTTTCCGGAAGGACTTCTTGTGCATATCCTTAGTTACTGATTGCTTCTTTAAGCGTTTCAGAAGCTTTGTATAGTTCGCTGTAAAATTTGGTCACAAATTGGATTAGTTCATTTCTGTCTGTAATTGTTGGACCAACGATTTTCTTCTCTCCCAATGATTAATGCTTTTTTTCGTTTGCGTTGCATTGCGTTTTCTTATAGTTTTCTCTGTTTTCAATTGCTTGTTCTATACGTATTTTATTGTATGTTCTTATGTCCTTATGTCCTTAAGTTCTGTGTACTGTATGCTCTCTATGTTGCCAATTACTTTTATTTTCATTCTTTGTTTTAGCATTATTTTGATTCAGACAGTTTTTTATGTTCATTTGATTTGGCTATGTAATCTTTCATCAATTGTCTTTTGGTAGTGATCTAAATTTCCTTTTAGGTTGTTGATATTTTTATAGGTAGGTACAGGTTATTGTTGGTTTTGTAATTATTTTTATTCTTCCTAATTTTAGATCTAGAACACTTTTTGTTCTATTTAGTACATGGTCTGCCTGTTTAAAGTTTTTTGATTACTCTGACATCTTTTATTGTAGCAATATTGTTGATTAGAATGAGAAGTCAATTTCGATTTTAGTGGTTTCATTTGATGTTATTCAAATCCATTTTCTGTTTGATTTTTTCTTAAAAAAACGTATTTGCAAATTATTATATTATTATATTATTATATTATTATTATATTATAACGTTACTGATAGAGTATTTGTGTCATTAATGATTTATGTAGTATTGGTTTTGATTTTATTATTATCGAATTGCTTGTATGGATAATTAGGTTACTGATTTACTTCTGTATTAATGATTGATAATTTATTGATTTCATTATCTTTGAATTGCATTTAGTAGTAAGTATATATCTGTACCCCGGAGGTAAAGGACACTATGTCGATTTTCTTACTTTTTCAGAAGACCAATTTTAACATTTTTTAAATTTGTAATCAGTAAATACTCAAATGTTTTTTATAGTTAACCAAGATTAATATATTATTATTGTGGTGTGTATAATCGTTTCTCCTTCCATAAAGTCTTATATACCTGAAGTTTACCGTTCATTATATAAATTTTTTTTTAAAATGTGTAGTTGGACATAGTGTAGTTTACCTCTCACAACTTTTTTAAATAATGTGACATTGCATGTTACGGCCGTTACGAAATAAACAAGACAAACACATTAAACAGCCTATACTATTATTTTATTAGAAACAAATAATATAATAATTAAGTAAAATTATAGACGACAAGTCTCAAAATTGTTAAGGAGGCTATCAACTTCATCTTCTTGTTTACCGTTTATTATATATATATATATATATATATATATATATATATATATATTATATATATATATATATATATATATTAAATGTGTATTTGGACATAGTGTTGTTTACCTCTAACAACTTTTTTAAATAATGTTACATTGCATGTTGGGGCCTCTACGAAATAAACAAGACAATCACATCATACAGCCTATACTATTATTTTATTAGAGACAAATAATATGATGTTATAATAATTAAGTAAAATTATAGACAAGTCTCGAAATTGTTAAGGAGGCTCCTATCATCGTCATCTTCTTGGTGGTAATCGTTTGTGGCTACATCGCTAAGAGTTAAATTTTAATAAAACGCTTGGCAAACCGACGAAACAAAAGGCAATAGTTCAATTATGTCATTGTACTTTTGTTTTGTGACTGGTAATGGGATTCCTGAGACTTAATTTAATTGGGCTAGAAACGTTACTTGCTGTCTTTGATACTTATGAAGTCCGCCTCATACATATTTTGATTATTAAAATTGGTCTTATCAAGAGCTTTCCAATGTGTTCTTGTTGGACTTGTAGAAAAGCACATGTTAACAGTAAAATAGTTTCTTTGTTAACATTATTTTTTCTACTTAAAAAAGGAGGATTAGGTTTATGAGGATTATGTCCAAAGCTTCCTTTTGTAGAAACTAATACAATTGTTTGTTAGTGGTGAAGGCAAACATCACCAGATAGTACTTTGTGTTTTGATGACTCTTTAGCGATTATAAAGTTCAATTCTTTTAAGTTATACCGACTTTTAGATTTAATTAGCTGAGCATCACGATCACCCTGTACAGTGGTTAATTCATCTGCAGAAGGATTATTTTTCAATTGTACAATGATACATCTTTTCTATTGTAAGTTCTGTGCCCAGATAATTTCTCTTGCTCCTTTCTCTGGAATAATGACTATGGGTACTTTGGAAATAAATAGATATGTTGATGTATACTATTTTGGTTTCAATAGGAGTTTTATTGATTGGCGTGTGTGTACCTTTTTGATCAGCTTTTATTAAACCTCCTAGTTCAATAATTTTCAACATATTCACTACTACTAAATTAGATACACAAAGTGTGTTTAAAAACATAACCTTGCGCATCTTTAATCGCTAAATTTTCAATGGTAGTGTAGTGTATTATTTTAAGATTTGGTAGAGTTTGGGTTAATTTTTCTTAATCGAAGAGTAGGTTGGATGTCGACACATGAGAAGATAAATTGCATTTTAACATTGCAAGATTTTTTGTCTTTCGTATTCTGGCAATCTTTTAGAGAATTTCATGCGACACATGCAAGGAGGCTTTAACATTTTTGCAGGCATGTTTTCGCCTCTTTTACTGAGATACTTTTTCCCACCAGCTATTTTCCGTTTGCGAACATTACAGACCTAATTTTGTTGATTCACTACACGTTTTTTACCTTTTTGTTTGCACTTAGTTACATTTTGTACCTTTCTTCTGACACTTTTCTCTTCTTTTAGAATAACTTTTACTTGGAAGAATACTTCCAACAGTTAACTATTGATATACTGTTGGAAGTGCATCTTAGATCTTTTAGTTTTTTTTCACAGTAATGTGCTTTTTTATATTTTTTACATAAATTTTTTATATACATGTACAACTACCACATGTTCTTTTGCTGTGCTAAATTTAAGAAAATTTTTAACTATATTTAGTTCAATTTATTGTTTATACAGCATAATCTTTTAATAAACATTAAAGAAGAAGTATATTTATTCAAAAATAGGGAAAGCCCTAATACATACAAAATTAATCAATTTATAACATTCATATATAACATAAAAATAACAATTACACTTAAAATATAGTATCTACACTTATTAAAAAATATAAAACAATAATATAAAACATAAAACATGACTACAAAACAACTATCTAACTATTGGCTTTTAATATGGTTCATTAATTTGTTTTTAAACATTTGTAAAGATGAACAATTTTTAACTGTTTGAGGAATCTTATTAAAAAGATCAAAACCCTTAAACAACAAAGAGTTTCTTGAAGCTGTCCTTTTTGTTTTCACAATGTGTAAATTGCACTTACCTTGAGTAGGGTAATTGTGAATATCACAATTCCGTGTAATCAACTCACAAAAGTAAGCAGGGGCCAAATTATTTAGAATTTTATAAATGAACACCATTGTAAGGTAAAAGAACCTTTGTTGAACTAAAACCCACTGCAGCATGCTAAGCATTGTTGCTATAATTGTATATCTGTTTCCACCAAGAATGATTATCATTCCACGATTTTGTAATTGTTGCAACTGGGCCGATTGATTTAAATTGAAGAGAAAAATAACTGACGAGCAAAAATCGAGGTGAGGTTGAATAATTGCATTAAAAACTATAATTTTAGTTGCAGTTGACAAATTTTTAGATATTCTTGAGAAAAAGTATAATTTTTTAGAAATATCTTTTAATATGTAATTAAAATGGTCATTAAAAGACAATAAATTTTCTAATTGAAAACCAAGGTACTTAATTGTTGTGATGATTTCTATTTTGTCATTGTCAATTTAAAGATTAATAGTATTAATATCAATATTTGAGTATTTTTATTTAGTTGTTATTATCATAGCCTTTGTTTTTAACACATATTTTCATACATTTTCATATGATACATTATTTTCTAAGTTTGAATCAAAACATGCAAGTAGGGTGTCATCTGCATACAAATTAAAGAAATCACATTTAACAAACAAGTTTATATCATTTAAATACAATATAAAC